TAGCATATAATAAAAAAAAATCGAATTGAAAGAAAAGATATGCCATAATCTTTACTTAAACAAAACGTAAATTTTGTGATTATATTATGTAAAGAAAACTATAGCAGTGCGTTTAAAATTTTTGAGAAAAATCCATAAAACGGCATTCTTTTGAAATAACGTCACCTATTGGTTTCCATTTTGAGGTAAATGACATTACGCATTCACCACGAGATAAAGCATGAAAAGACCTTTCCAACGAGGTATAACACTATGGGCTTTTGATGAGCCAATCCTTGAAAACATGCATTTTTCTGATCAGACATCGGAGCTTCGGCTCACTCTTTCTGTCGAGCGATAGAACAAAATATCAATAACAAAAGTTATGCGCAATGAATGCGGCTATCCATAATTGTACTATTATTATTATTAACCAAAATTTTCTCCCGAAGTTCTAGGACCTATACTTTCTCTAATATCGTACCTCGCCGACCTTAGTGGGACACTCTGTACATTCTCGTAAAGAGTCAAAATTCGAGTGGTGGACTTATTACGTATTAATCTTGACCAAGTACCACCCTGTAAAAATTTATTTTTTATGATAGCACAGCACCACAGAATCAAAAGTTGGCTTGGAGCATCTGCCAAACTTGTGCTTTGACCAGCTGAATCCGAATCTATAGCCATAATTCCCGGATCAGTTCGGATTTGACCCTAACATCAAAACGCTCCTCTAGAAAACGATTTTCGAGATTTCAAACTGACTTACACGATAACCTCATAACCCCATAATTTCGTAACCCCATATCCCCATAAATCTATAACCTCGTAAGCTGTTATTTTATTCGGAAAATCTCACGATCACTGATTGTACACTCAAGGAAGTATAACTACATATAACTTGTAACATAAATCTGTATTACGGTGTTATTGGATTATGGGGTTATGGAACCCTACCAACTCACAGTCATGTAGCTTCGGACCATAATTCTACAGAGTTTCATGGTTCTACACTGTCGCACAACTCAGTTGTGGGATTTATGAAGCTGTGGGGTTATGGTGTTAAAAGATACATCTTTTTCCAATCACTAGCTATTCAAGTTAGTTTGAACTGTTTTTTACATAATCAATAGAATGTCCCAATTTCTATTAGTATTTTTATTTTTAAACATAGTTTGTGTTATATACTTTGTTGTACAATAACTGTCCAATATTTCTACCAAATGTGTGCAATAAGATTTACTGAATTTTTAAAATTTGCGTAGTAATATTAATACATACATGCAAGATGATCACAAACTCAAAAAAAATTGTGGACTGTACACGAGATCCATAGAAATACCATAGTGAAATACTGTGAAAAAGAAATTATTAAGACATTTTGAAAAGTATTTATAAAAATATATGTACGCGCCACTGGAATTTGGTAGACTGCAATACCTGACCTGGCACAATGCGCGCACAATCATATACTAGTTTACGTACAAAAAAGGAAAAGAATTTAATGAGGTAATAAATATGTAGCTATCGTATTTTAGCTAATTTAATTACTGTTTTTATTATTATTATTAGGTTTTACTGCAATGTAATCAATACATGTTAACCAGTATTTTAACCTAAAAAAAAATAGTACTTACGTAGTATTCAACAATTAACAATGTTGCCCGACTGGAAAAAACACATTGAAGCAAGTTTAACTCAGTTCTGAAGAACAAAGACAAACGTTTCTTCTAGGTAGCCTACTTAAAAGTCGTCACTGCATCATTGTATTTTTTAAATACTCCATAAAATAAATCGAGACGGTTTAAATCAGGAGATTGCGGTCGCCATGCTAACGATTCTCTTCATCCAACTCACCGTAGTTTAAAAAACTTCTTTAAAGTGGAGGTATTTTTTTATAATAGTATGTAATATAATAGTCGAAAGGAAGGGAATATTAAAAAGGATAACGGAGACGTTCCAAGTCACATTTACCCCAATCCAAAAATTGTAGCAGTGTACCAAGACGTTTAAAGGCTCAAAATGTTATTTATTTCAAACACATTCTAATGTGTAGTGGCATATTTTGGAACTCCAATATCGCGGTTGTGTATAAAACCATATTTGCGAAAGCGGAGTGACGAAATATCGGTATATTCAGCAATACAAGGTTCTTATTCGTCTGGAAATAGTCAAAAACACACCGGTACTCCGCAATTGTTAACCAATATTGAACCTGCAAACTCTAAACCTAAAGCCTAAAGATTAGAACATTTATAATAACGCCCAAATACATACAGGGTCCATTGAAGACATTTTATTACCGTTTTTGATGATTACGAGGAAACCGGGAACCTAGTTAAAGCACAAGTTAAAAAAATTGAAAAAAAATTGAAGACTCTCCGCGGTAGTTCTTGGTAACAGCAGCAAAATCACATACTGAAACCTTCTCCACCTCTCCGATCGTTTCCCCAATTTTTTTGACGTGTTATTTTGCTTTATCGGTTTGCATTTTCTAGATCCAACATTATTCGTTGATTTTGAACTAGTAGAATAAAATTAACTATTTTCAATCGAAACGAATCCAATATTGTTTTGTATTTCCATATACATATACATACAAGAGATTTTCTGTGTGTTACCATAAATTAATATATATTTTTGTCTTCACATTTTACGTGAGATTGTTATAATAAACTTAACAGAAAAAATATATGCAGTACGTCCACAAAAAAGGAAAGAACAGGAAAAACTTACTTATTTTTCATTTTATCGAAAAAAGTTACTCTTGATAAAAAATTTTATTGGTTCTTAAGGTAAGATTTTGATAAAAAATTTAACATTTCTTGTACGGGGTGTTAAAAAAATTGATACTTTAAGAATCAGCAAAAAATGTTTATCAGTGTCACTTTTTTTGATAAAATGAAAAATAAGAAAGTTTTTTCTATTGAAACCTTTTCTGTGGACATACTGTATACCTGTTTTTTAAATATATTTTTTGATAGAAAAACAGTTATAATAGGCCTCTTGCACCTGCCGGATTTTTATTTTAGTTCACATATTTAAATATGGCCTTATTTAAAATTATTAATTATAAAATCATTTGTGAAAAATTCTACTCGAAAATTGACTAAGTCGTACAGCGAAATTTTCTATTGCTGCGACGTCATCGGTAAGTAAACTGGCCGCTCCACATTAGAAAGCGATGTCGGTCCTATGACTTCTTAAAAATATTCATTATTTTTAGTTTACATACGATACGATAACTATACTGATATGCTGTTATATTTACTAACTGGTTTCCATTTTGTTATGTAGGTATACCTAAATATGCACCTATGTACCAAAATAATTAAGTCTGTGTAGGTATAATATGTATTTAATTTTTACGACGATTAGTTCAAGTGAGCTTTCCGCGCGTAGCATAATATTTACTACCTAAATAATATTTTGAATCTAAATTTGTTATTTTAAATAATCATTAGTTTTTAGTTTTTTAAAAATTCTCAAGAATATTTGTAACATGACCGAACAAGGTTATGCTAAAGCCTAATCAGACAATTTACCGAATTCCATGATGATTGCGGAGTTTTTTTTCGAAAAGTATTTTATTTTCTTCGGCAGAAATATGGGGAATAAAAGCAAACAGGTATGAGAATGTGATTTATAGGTATCTACATAAATTTATTTTAAAATACATTTTTTTCTGGCGTTTTTACTGATGTATTTTCACACATCGGTACAAAGCATCAGTAATAGTATGGTTTAGAGGGATTTGTCATATTTAATATAAGTTTAACTTAAAAAATTTACAGTATATATAAGGTATCGTACTGCTTATTGACACCACTCCACACATTTAATAACCAAAGCAGTCAGCTGCACTGTCGAAACGCGTAGGTATATTATTATGTCGCGCTTGCTATTTACTTACCGATGACGTCAACCGATTAAAACTTTAATATCTAATAACTTTTTATAAATAAATTAATATAACAAAACCTTTACACATTGTTTGTAGTATTCAATGTAGATACGAAAACTATTAATATATTTTTGTCTGCAAGAAGCGTATTGGTCTAGTCATACTCAAAGCTTTTGATAATGCCGTTCCAAAATGTAATTTTTTTCTAAAAGTTTGATGTACACTTATATTGATGTTTATGTATATAATTTTTTTCTTTCACAGATACATATATTCTATTAACTCTCACATGTTTTTACTCATTTTTTTTAATAATTGTTTTTTATTAACTGTTTACTGAGTATTAGCGAAGTGTAACACAATACCAGATGGGGCATGTCATGGAGTAGTTGTTTCCCGCAGTATCAGTAGTTAGCAATATTGTCTGTGAGGTTGAATATCTTTTACAGACCTAGATAGAGTCTAGTGACGAAGACGAGTTCATTTTGATAACATTTTTTTTAATTTGTCTGATTTAGTTACAAACCTTACAAACTACTATTTTTTTCTATCAATATTTATTAATTTCATATGAACGGATGAAACAATGCCAAGTAAAATGTAAAAATCAAAAGTTCTCTTTGTTGTAACGGTTTCTTAAGTGGTTAGTCTTTGTCAAGAGTGATAATAAGAATACAGCATTATTGCGTTATTTAACAATTGCAACATATTAGATGAGGTATAAAAAATAAAGCCATATGTAAATATTTAAGCGCTTGTATATTTTTTGGTACAAATGGACAAATGCTTTAGCTTGGCTAGTATAAAAAAACGTTTATAAAGCAGATAATTGACTTCAACGAGTGGTCAAATTATTGACTACATTTTTTTTATGCGTCAATTGAGTATACAGTTTAAAATTGACCTCTCTATTTCTTGATCTACGCGCCGCTACTGGTTATAATACCTAAGAATTAAGAATCACGTTTTTCCCAGAATTTCCCGAATTTACTACGAACCTTCCAAACTTACAATTAAATTTTCAGAACAAATAAAAAAATACCCCTTCATAGCCTGCCAAGACCGCCTAACTAGAAAGACTCAGACCCCGCGGAAACAGGGCCGGCGCGCCCATGTCAACGAATCATATCAATGCCGCACGCTTGTGCCTGACAATCCCCGACTTATCGTGGTCATACACAATATCTGCGTCCATGTGAACAGTACCCGATGACTTAATTAGTGACTCGGCCGAGTGCGGCAGTGCGTAATACTGGGCGAGAGCATGGCGTTTGCCAGTGACAGTGTCCAACGTAACCTGCAGGTGATCCTCGGAGTGCTGGCCGTCCGTAGACTAGCTCTGCAAGTGAAACGGTAGTGCCGGTGATGTTTCCACAAACATGGAACCATGGAAACCATAGTCGAGGATCAGGAATCAGAGTATGAACTCGGTGAGTGACTAATCCGTAGCTGTTTAAACCCTAAAATATACAGGCTGTTTTAGAAGATCTCCCGTAAATACAGGGGGTGATAGTACGACAAAAAATAAAAAATTTTTGTCTTATGAACTATATGTCTATCTCCTCTTGTTTTCGAGATACAGAGCGGCAAAATAAATTTTTTTAAATAGAATTTTAACGAAAATTTCCGAACGGTGCGAAATATTTTTATGAAATTTGGTACTTTTGGATTTTTAAGGATGCCAGATACGCTGGTCTAATTATTTTTTGGTTATTTCATAGAGGGCGCTAGTTATGCTACATTCGCATTACATTTTCAGTTCTAATTCTTTTGAGGTTAGGTTTTTTACCATTCGGGCTAAAATGTGTAATGTATAATTTTATTTTCTAAAGATAATGTACCATTGTTAGAACTTCCTATTGTTGACGGTTTTCAAGAAAAAAGTGTTTTAATTGAACTCTTACATTATTACGGTGTAAAAAATAAGTGACTTTTCTCAAAGTAGGCTTATGAAAATTTTGATATAAAGTTAATTGGAGTTTAAAATATTACTAAGAATGTATGCGTTGTCTATGAGACATCCATCAATAAGTTTTGACATAGCCTACTTTGAGAAAAGTCGCTTATTTTTTACACCGTAATATTGTAAGAGTTTAATTAAAAGCCGTGTTCTTGAAAACCGTCCACATTAGGAAGTTCTAACAAGAGTACATTATTTATAGAAAATAAAAATACATTAGAAATTGGAGCCCGAATAGTAAAAAACCTTTAAAAAAATTAGAACTTAAAATGTAATAGGAATGTAGCATAACTAGCGCCCTCTATGAAATATCCAAAAAATAATTAGACCAGCGCATTTGGCGTCCTTAAAAACCGCGGAATACCAAATTTCATAAAAATTTTTCGCACCGTTTCTAAAAATTTTCGTAAAAATTCTATTTAAAAAAATTTATTTTGTCGCTCTGTATCTCGAAAACAAGAAGAGATAGACATATAGTTCACAAGACAAAACATTCTTATTTTTTGTCGTACTATGAACCCCCGTATTTACGGGAGGTCTTTCTGAAACAGCCTGTATAATAGCAGCTTCATTTCAGCCATTTCTTTTTCATTTTTGGAAAAACTTAATTGGTCAAATGAGAAATGGTACTTCCCGCTTATTTTTACAACGAGATTAAACAAGTTTAACTTAACTCTTCAGCATCTGCCTCTTTTCAATATTTCTTGCGTCTTTGTTCATTCCAATATCAAAATTAAAGTATTGACATAACCTACAATAAAGTACACAGTCTGTTTTACAACATTATATCTTTCTTATCTTTGTTACCTTTTGGTTTAGGAAAGAATCGTAAAGAGAAAGTTTTAGGAAATTTTCTTGCGATTTTAAAACAATTGATTGTTGCATATCGAACATGTAAATCATACTTTTGTTTTATTTTATAGTGGAAGCACCCTATACAAGGTGTTAGAAGTTTGACTGTCTTAATTTTAACAGACGATAGCATACATTAAAATAAACGAAAATCCTTATATGACATGGGTCCTAAACTCAACCATTTCCGAGAAAAAGTTATCAAAATATCTAAATTGATGTACAAAAGTTCGATTGATTAAGAAATATTGACGTAACTATGTGCATGGAATACTATAAAGTACAATGTAACAATTGTATCACTTTTTTTAACCTCTTTATTCTTAATTCTAAAAAATAATTAGCGTTGTAATAAATTTAAAATTCGATAAAATTCATATCGAGCAATGTGACAAGGCCGCGGCGGATAACACGATGTACTAAGCTGTCGAGCATGACGCATTTCAGTTGGTATCTGGAATTGGACCGTGTCTGAGTGTTTTTTGCGTACCACTATTTTCTTTTCTTGAGGTGTTTTCCAACGAGTGTGCGAATATTGGATTCGAAGGTGTCGTGCGTCGTGCATCGAAAATAGTGATGGACATTTTGAGAATATATTGTAGCTTGTTTTGTACTTGTGCATTTAAAAATTACTGAATTTTGCTTTATGGTAAGTTCCTAAATTATTTTTAATACGTATGATTATTTGGATGACGTGAATCTTTGGGTACTTTAATTAGATATTTCTCAAATTCATAATTTGATTAAATCAAATCAAATCATGTTCCTGCTTTAAGAGATTCATAATTACTTAAATTTGAGCTAAAATTTAAGCACAACACTATCTTCTTACTACAAAATCGATACATTTTATTTATTTAAAACCTGAAAAACAATTGTCTTGCAATTTACTAAATGTTTCACAATAATAGTTGTTTACAGTTTTTCCATAGGACAAGTCTGCCGCGTGCACACATGGTATGCACCAGCTGTGTAGCGTTAGGTTAAGCGCTGTTGTCACGTTGTGATGAAACTCCCCAATATTAATACTCGTTGTATTTTGAAAACTGTTAATCTTACGCCCCTGTAATATATAACTTTTCTGTTCATGTATGATTACTGTATCTCGTCCTGAAGTAATGGCAGTCAAACTTCTTACACCTTGTATATTTATGTTTTCTTTTTGGATTCTTCTGTGTCTTCTGATTGTACTGACATATACTCGTTATACAAGGTTGCTGATATTTATGGAATCTGTCGATTATCTCCTAAAATAAGATAACTATCGAAAAATCATAAGACACAAACGTTTTAGGGTTTTGTTTAAATCTACTACAATAAAGAAAAATTAAGTATCTATACAGGATCGTGACGAAACAAAGTTGCTTTTTCTCTAATGGTACACCCTGTATATTATTCCATATTTCAATTCTTCTCGAAATTGTAAACAAAATTCATATAACATTATGTACCTAAACTTAACCGATTTCGTGATATCGAACTTTGAAAGTAACTTTTTACTACCCACAAATTTATAAAAGAATAAGCGCCCCAAATTATGGATATATATTTTGAAAATAACACAAGGTGGAAGATATGATTTAATTTTATTATTAGTTTTTTTTTACAAAATATAAAAAAGCATGCTGAAAAAGCTGATAAAAATGCATGCAACGAAAAAATGTATTTTTATGAATATCCTGGATATTTTAAATTTTATATAAACAACAGTTATGCTAGAATAAAAAACAAATATTTTCTTTGAAATTCTATTTTATGAGGTGCTCAAAGAGTTCACCATTTACCTCCTGGCAGTAATGAATTCGCTGAACAAAATTTTATAGTGAATCTAAAAGGAAGTTGGGAGGGATTGTGGAAATTTCATTAAAGAAAAAGTAACTTTGTTTCTTCATGTCTTTTTGCTGATACTTAATTTTTCTGCATTGTAATAGATTTAAAAAAAAATCCTAAAACGTTTGTGTCTTATGATTATCTTATTTTAGGAGATAATAGACCGTTCCCATACATAGCAGCGACCCTGTATTTTGGTAGTTTGTAAAACATTTTGGTTTATTTACTGCACATAGTCAGCTTGCCATGAAATCACTGTATGGATACATTTACGGCTGATAGATTTACTAAACTAATATTTTCTTCTTCTTTCTCTTGATCTATTAAATAAACGTAAATTATACAGAGCATTCATAAATGTTTACAAGCAACGTGACCATCGACCAACAATGCACGGTTTGTGTTGCCAACCGAAAATCCCTAAATTTTAACGTTACCAATATTAATGATTCGTTCGCAATAAACAACGACAAATCGTTGAATAAAATCTCGTGAAAAAATACACCAATCAGCAACCGGTGAAACAAAATGTTGCGTTTTAATGTAATCTTGATCTTATTGATTTAATTTTACCTTAATTTAATTGCCAATGTGAAGGAAATAAAATTACTATTCTAAACAAAATTACTGGTCACGTGCTTGTAATCTTTTATGAAGGCCCTGTAGAACTCCTAAATGTAATAATCAGTGCGTATAACTAAGTATTTTCATGAGTTACATTAAAATGTTAACGGTTTTTTGGTGTGTATTTTTTATTCGTTTGGTTAATCAATAAGCCTCTTGAATTTTTAATAGCTATATCTTCAGAAGATGCGTGTGTCTATTCTTGCTCACATATTTGCAACTACAATGACTATAATATTATTTGATTTCATTTATGTTTCTCTGATGATTTTTCATTATGAAATTCAAACAGAGACGAGCTGGAGCGCCCTTCCTAACGTCGGCGCCCCTGGGCAGACAACCGGCTCAGACTGTAAGTATTTATTATGTTAACGAGACAACCGTATTGGATCTGTTAAACAGTCGCATGCTTTACGTATATTCAACGTTAATTCCTTAAGATTTTTTTTATAGTTTTCATTATTTGCAGTATTTACACAATTCCTAGTATACATATACAGGGTGTGGCGTGTATAATCTATAAAAGTTAAATTACAGCTTCCTAACGATATTTGTAATAGAAAAATCATATACGAAAAAGTTTCATTTTTGCGTTTTTTTTTGTAAATTAAAGTTCAATTATGGATCAAAATAGTTTATCTGGGACGGTCCTGTCCGTGTGCTGTACGAAGAGTTACGTGCTGTAGACCAGCCGGGTAAACAAATCGTTGTTGAAAGATAGAAAGATACTTCTTAATTTTTGGGGAATTTTTCAATACAGAAAATACATATTTAAAAAACTGATATTTTCTTATTATAATAATTAATAGTAATTGCTATGTGTGCACTAAACAAACTCCATTAAAATATGGAACAAAATGAAATAAAACTTACTATTTCTAGAGAAAATGTTGAAATTGATCCCCATTAGCATGGATACAGGCATGGCACCGACGCACCCAATTTTGGCGAATATTTTCCCAAATGCCAGGTATTCCCCTAATTGGGTCAGCAGCTTCAAGTATACGGTTTCGCAATTATTCCACCGTAGCAATTGGAGTATTGTAAACCAATGCCTTCAAGTGACTCCAAAGATAAAAGTCCATTGCAGTTAGATCGGGTGACCGAGGTGGCCACGGCACAAGACCAAAGCGTCCAATCCATCGCTGAGGAAACATTTCATTC